TTAATTTTCAATCTTTTTTTTGCCTATTCACCTTTTTTCTTAAACATTTTCTTAAAATTCATTACACTAATCAATTAATTAAAAATGTATTTTAAAATCAAAATTTCCCCATCTTCTTCCACCCCTTCTCTTCTACCCCCTCCCCCCCCCCCCACCTTTCTTTGATTTTCACCATTTTCAACCTTCACTATCTTCCTTTTTCCCCCAAATTTCCAGCCTTCAATAGTTTTTTTCTTCTTCAACATTCATCAATACTTACTTTTTCTTCTTCGAACCCTCTCTCTCTCCCACAAATCTTCTCCTTGAAAAATAATATTTTTTGAAAGTTATTTTTTTCTTAACAACTCAAATGAGAAATGACGGTTGTGAAAGAAAGTTGATAGACCCACGTTTTTTGCATCACAACTAATAGAATTCAAAATGGGTTACTTAAAATTCAAGAAAGTTTACATTCAAAAATATGAATTAGGTGTTGGATTTAGTGATTAGTGAAGGGCGGGTGAGGTGAGGGATGAAGATGAAGGAAAAATTTTAATATGGAAGAAGAAAGGTATAAGGAGTGCTTCAATGGGGGAAGACAACAAATTAAAGAGAGAACAAAAAAAAAATTAAATATTTTTTAAAAAAAATTGAACCCACAAATTTCATTTACTTCTAAACAAGACATTTAACATTTTTTTTTTAACTTTAACTTATAAAAAAAATTTAAAAATTATTATTTATATATTGGCCAATAAAAAATTACCATGTGTATGATTTTTACCTTTTAGTTTTTTTACTTTTATTATTTCACGCGCTTTGAGGAGAGTGAATACATTCACTTTGCCATGTCAGCTCTTAGGATCGTATTTAATCAGTTCAAAATTGTTAAAATGGTATTTAAACGCCCGTATAATATTTAAAGTACTAAAGTAAGTTTTGCTGTCAAGTTTAGGGGTTTTTTTTAATGTATTTTCTCTAAAATATTTTGTGTGTACAAAAGCTTACATAGATTATATTAAAAGATAACTCAACGCATAAAACATTGTGTTCACACAGAATTAGGAAAAAGGTTACAACCTAAGGGCATCTCCAATCCTAATCTCTATTTTACTCTCCAAATATAGTGTTTTCTATTTTTTCAGACAACCAACTCCAACCCAAATCTCTATTTCACTCTCTAAAAAAAGAATTTTTTTCTCTCTTCTCAATATTATATTATTATTTCTATTTCATTTTTATTTTCTTATCTCATGATACATATCCTTTATTTTTTTTATTTTTTCAAATAATCACTTTATATAATTTTCATGTAATATAATTTTTTTTCAAATTCTTTACTTAATATAAATTATATTTTTTCCTAAATTTCTAAATAACATAAATTGCAAATTAATATTATATAATATACAAATTAATGGACAATTCAAATAAAAGTGAAATTATTAATGAAATATAAATACATAAATACTCTACTTTCAAAATTATTACATTTCTTCCATAAATGCTCTATTAATGCATTACGGAGTTCAAAATGAACATATTTATCCTTAATTATTTTATGTCTAGCTAAAGATTGTTCAAATCGGAGATTTTCATGCAACAAGAATAACTACGAATAATTGAAAAAAGAAATCAACAAGCACAACCGCAATCACAACTACACTAATTATGTGGATCATACACTAATTTTTTCCAAATATTGTTACATCTGAAAACGACCTATCGGATCACTTAGTTATCGTTGTGATAAAATTACTATGTTATGTATTGTTATCTTGTATTTTAATTATTATGTTATGTATTGTATTTTTAAATCAAAATTTTCATCTTATCATTTAATTTTGTGCATTCTTCATAGTGAAAATTAATAATGATATCATACTATATTAAAGTGACAAAAATTTAAAAAATTGAAACATTATTACATTGGGTGAAAGTAGTATATATTAAATAATATATTTTTTAAAATGTTATATAACATTAAAATGAATTACTGATATTAAAGATATAATTAATGGTCTTATATGAAAAATATCATGTTAATTACAAAATAGTAGAAATAATAATAAAATAATGAAAAATAGAGTGTGAATAGTTTAGAGAACTACTATTCACCTCTCTATAAATGGAGAATAGAGTCATTTAGAGAATGGTTGGAGAGCCCATTCTCTATTTTACTCTCCAAATATAGAGAATGGAGAGTAAAATAGAGGTGGGTTGGAGATGGTCTAAGAGGTGCGATGTAGAAAGTCTATTCTAATATCAAGCATTAATGGTTGATTCCATCTTAGATAGCCATAATTAAAAAAATTCCATCTTAGATAGACTAGATTCTCATAATTAAAAAAAATAAAAAAATTTCCACTGCATAAGGTGAAATTAGGATTTTGCAGGAGGACTGGTTGAAAACTTACACATGGAAGCATCTCCTTAATGAAAGTCGAACTTGCAAGAATTCAATTTAGACATATGATACTAGCTTGCGTGGTTGTAGTGTTACATTCTTCTTGATAGTAATACAATTGCTGATGACATTTCTTCATTACTTGCTTGCGTGTTTGTAGTGTTACATTCATATCATCTATTTTGACACTTTGTACTCCAAGACTTAGAATTTGCATTTTCTCTGTATTAATAATCTTCCTTCCATGTGAGGGGATCATCTCTCAAAATTATCAAATTTTAACGAACCTGCAAAATGAACACCTATGTTAGTAATAAAATCCGCGAGTTGATTCTCTTCTCTAAGGGTGTGTTTGGTATGAAGGAAAATGTTTTCCTAGAAAATATTTTTTTGGAAAACAAGTGGATTTTTAACTTATTTTATCATGTTTGGTTGGTGAGTAGAAAATACTTTTTAATGTTTGGTTGGTGAAAAAATATTCTTTAGGAAAATAATTTCTGGTCAGAAAATCAACCCCACACCCAAACTAGAACAAGACCCCGATAACTGTTCTAAAATTCGACCCTGAGATTTGACCCAGACTTTCGACTCAGGAATTTTTTTTCAAAAATATTTGACCGCCGGGGGGGGGGGGGGGCTGCGGAGTGGGGTAGGGGTGAGGGGTAGAGTTGGGTGTGGCGGGGAGGGGTGGTGTCGTGTGACATAAAAATGAAATTTTTTAAATTTGAAATACTTCCCAAAAATATATATATTTTTTTAAAAATAAATTTGACGGGGGTGGCGGGGGAGGGGGTTACTTGGGTGGGGTGACCTTGTTTGGGGGGGAGGGGTAGAAGTGGTAGGAGTTGGGTGAGGTAAAAAAAAAAGTTTAAAATTTGAAACATTTTTCAAAAAATAATTTTATAAATTTTTATATTTTTTGTTTGATGGGTGTAGGGATAAAAATATGTTTGAAGTTTAAAATTTTTAATTTTTTTTTGAATGGGAAGGGTCGGTTACGGGGTATAAGTAGGGTAAAAAATAAAAATAAAAGATGAAGTAGAGTTTTGAAAAATGTGTTCCCTAATTTTGATAGGGAAGTAATTTTCCTTAAATTTGAGGAAAATAAGTTGATTTAGAAAACATTTTCCAAACATTTTAAGCCAACCAAACATGAGAAAATTGAAAAATATTTTCCAGAAAATGTTTTCTTCCGTACCAAAGACGCCCTTATCGTAACCAATTTCATTTTTCTTCCAAAGCACCACGTTAGTCACAATAGTGAGACTATATATATGCCTCCAAAGATTTCACTAGTGGCTATTTATAAGGAATACTTTCCAGCTAGTAGTGTTTCCTTGTCAAAATTCGAAGTTGTTTACTAATCTCTTATCAGCCATATTCTGTCGCACAAAAAATTTGTGTGATTAAAATAATCGTCAATCAATAGTCCCTAAACATGGATCATTAATCATATACAAAAACAATTTAGTGTTTTGTTGTCAAAAAAAATTATATTACCTATAAAAATAAATTCATGAATTTGTTTGTCATAAAAAATGTAATTTTTTATAGTTAATAATATGATTTTATCATTAAAAAAGTTGTTAATACTGATAAAAGTACCCCATCCCTAATTATTGAGTTCAACTTTCTTAGAAGTATTTTTCCCGGTGTATTTTGGAGTTAATATTTGATCCAAGTGGGGTAATTTGGAAAGATAACAATAATCTAGAATTATTATAAAAGGTCTTAGGGGTAGGTCCTAAGGGTTACTTTTATAATCCGGACAACAAATTATATTACCTATAAAAATAAATTCATGAATTTGTTTGTCATAAAAAATGTAATTTTTTTATAGTTAATAATATGATTTTATCATTAAAAAAGTTGTTAATACTGATAAAAGTACCCCATCCCTAATTATTGAGTTCAACTTTCTTAGAAGTATTTTTCCGGGTGTATTTTGGAGTTAATATTTGATCCAAGTGGGGTAATTTGGAAAGATAACAATAATCTAGAATTATTATAAAAGGTCTTAGGGGTAGGTCCTAAGGGTTACTTTTATAATCCGGTTAGCTTGTTGGTTTTAGTCAATTAGGGGTTAAAATCCCACATAAGTGAGTGTTGATTTTTATAATTTATACCTTTTGAGTCAAGGTTCATTTTCACGTACTTTTTACGTGCGTGCTCGAATTATCATAAAGAGATAAATAAAAGAACAAAAATATAAACTAAATTAAATCTTTCTTTATAAATACCCCCAAGGGATAGTTTCTCCTAACAACTATAACTAAATACTACAAATCTAATTTTTTTGGGGGGAATTTGGGGTGGACTCGTGTATAGTTGATATATAAAAAATGTGAGGGCAAACTTTTTTTTTTTTTTTTATCCTTTAATTCTATTACATTTGGGGATCCGGGAAGCGGAAGAGGGAATTAGAACAATGAGAATTACATCCATACCTACTCTGCGGAGGACGTCTATCCGTACCACTAAATTGTACGTGTTGATGGTGGGAGGCATTATCTTTTTGTCTACGACACCATATTTTCGATCAGTTCTTGTTACTCTTGGACATCGACGTTGATCAGATTGGCCATTTGCATTTCTCTCCATTGTATAGCCAACATTTGTATTTTCACTCCAAATTGATCATAGAGTACTATGAAGAGGGTCCATGGCAAGGTGATGGAATTTGAATGCCAGTATAGCCAACATTTACATTTTGACATTGAGAAGTAATTGGCGTATTCGCTATATGCTTCAAATTTATGTTGGTGAGTCGAACATTTTGACAAGGGAGTTTTGAACTGCACAACAGTTGAACCGGTATCTCACTGCTTGTTGTTCCCCTTATGTTCTGGTAAACCACATCGCTTATTTTCACTTGTGACAACGACTGCAAAATTCAACACATTCTGAATCAGATTTGCTCATGATCTTAATTGTATATGAAATTAATTAAACATACATCGGTTGATTTGTCACCATAGCTCTGGTCTATGATGATTGGATTTTTAACATTTTCCATAACAATGTCGCTGAACATCATCCCTAATGCTCTGTTTGCATTTTCTCCTGCATAAGTTTTGATTCGGATACCATTTGTCGTGCCTCTCAACGTACAATTCTTCACAATAAGTCCTCTAACTTCCAATTCGCCAGCCAACTTACCAAGACTACCTACACTATGTTTTCAATTACCACAAACAACATAACGTTGTGAGATTATAACGAGTGAAACTTGCTCTAGTGACAGAGGAAGTAGCAGATAATGTACCTAATGCCATGGCCAGGGCCACAGGTGACTTTGTTAACAGTGACATTGTTTGTTCCTTGTCCGAATGAAACACAATCATCGCCAGTCCTAATGACACTCCTGGAAAGTTTTATGGTATTCGACTTGCTTATATGTATTCCATCAGTGTTCGGGCTATCTTCAGGGGCATCGATTGTAAGTCCATGGAACCTTACCAAATAGCTATTTGTAATATGTAAATGAAATCCCATGCTATTTATCAACTTCAACCTCATTACTTTTCCATTCCGTATATCATTGAAATGCAAGGTCTACAAAAAAGAAGAATCACAAAGTATTACTGATCCATAATCTCGATAAATTAATTAAACGAGAAATTTGATTGAGATGAATGATGAACTTACAGCAGGGAGGTGGACACAATTAGGATTAGTTTTACAGTCATTAAACTGCCAAACAGATTGTCCTTGAGCATCTAGAGTGCCTCCACCAGTAATGATAACGCCATTAATAGACTCGAATGAGATCCAAGCAAAGTTTGAATATTCAGAAACATCAGGCACTGCCTTTAAGGTTCCTGCAATTTCAAGTATTATAGAATGTGTCCCTTTGCATGGTCCTGCAAATATGATCTCTCCTAGTGTATATACTCCCGGAGGGACAAAAACTCTTGCGTGTCCAGTGAAATCACAAGCAGCTCGCCACGCCTTCATAAATGCCTGCATGATTTCACACAATCAATCAATACAAATATACACAAATAATCTGTTCAAAATCCAATAAGCAAAAAAAGAATAATTATATAATCATAATTCATAAACTAAAAATTCTGGCTTCATTTATGTTCACACACATGTTGTAATTCCCATTTGACAATTTGAGTGCATCACACAAATGAAGGACATAATCATGACATGTTATAAACACGAACTACACTACAAAAATATACACTCTAAAGCCATTTACATGTAATATTTCATGGAAGACCGGTCTTCTCAATAATCTTTCATGAAGAATTTAATAAGAAATGATGATTGCTTTCATTTTTCATTTTGCACAAGGGAAATTACGGTTGAGAAAAGGAGAATTCCTATTTAAACAAGATAATTCTTGTTTAAATAACTCACATAAATGACCTAAGAAAGGGAATAGGATAAATGATCGTATTAGATATATAGTTTCTACATTAATCCGTTGTAGAATTTTAAAAATATTTCGTATGCCCAAAAATTTCATTTACATTTCCCTTTCATCTGTAGTTAATATTTGAAGAATTACCTGTGTGCTTATAAGTTCTGAGTTAGGTTTGGCATCAAAATCCATGACATTAAAAATGGTTTGATCAGCTAAAGGAACAGCAGCAGCTGCATTGCATTTGCAGGTAACCAACGTTGATAACACAAGAATGAGGGCTAAAGATGATCCATTAATAATTGTCATGGCCATTTTTTTTCAACCCCTCAACCTTTTGTTTTTTCCTTTTAAACCAAAGAGAGTTTGAGATATGTTACAAATTTAAAGCATTTTATAGCTCTTACCCAGGATTTTATTGAGGGTATAAGAGCTCTCCCTCTCTTTGTATGAATTCTTCTTCCTTGCTATTTTATTAGCAAATTAGGAAAATTACTCCGATAAATGCTCTAACAAAATAATGTTTTGTCAAACTTTGAGGACATTGTTGCTTCTTTGCTTGCCTCCTTTAATTTACTTGTCATATTTACATTTTGTCATTTTCATATATTTGCTTAATTTAATAAATTGCTTGCCCCTGAATTTGTGGATGCTTGTTCCTATTTCTCTTTGTGCCTAAATATAGTACTAGTAAAGATATGTCACCTGAATCTAACTCAGAGATGATGATTGCCCGAGTCCATACAAGGAGACTACCAGTCCATTCCTCAACCAATATGAGACTTTTATCCACTCTAACAAGTACCAACTCTAATTAATTTTCTCTTATTGTGAGGTGCAACCTTTTTTGCTTGAAGTTATTTGAATAAGTTGAGTTCATGCTTCAATTAATCGAGCATATATTACACCGTACCCCCTTCTTATTCTTATTTTTTTTAGCGGAATTAATACCATCCTAGAAGTTAAATGGGGATTTGGGAAAGAAAAAAATAAACCTCTCTAGCTATATTCATATATATCTATATTAAATTAAAGGTTGAAAATCATTTATTCCCCAAAAATTTATTTTAAAAATCAAACTCCTCTCTTAACTTTATCTTCTACCCTTTCTTTATCATTTTTTATCTTCTCTTTTTATACTTCTTTAAAAATCATAGTATTTTTTTTATTTAACTTCCATAAAGAACTTCTTGAAAAATATAAATTTTTCTAAAATAGAAAAATAAAAAAATATTGGTTGAGTAAATAAGTTAATATTGTCCTATAATGAAACAAATGAACAATTTATTTTAAAATATTAGTTTTAACAAAATTTATAATGTAATAACCTTATAAACATATTTTGATACAAGTAATACAAAAAAAATTAATAAAATAAAAGATATATTTCACAACAATTTCTAAGAATGAAAGGTTAATAGTTGAAGGAGAGGAGGAGCAACAAAATTTGTAACACCCCGTATCCAAAAATAGAGATTTCAGATTTCTGGTGTTACAGGTGGCACTCACGGACACCATTCACAGACCGTAGATGGACTCACGGTCCGTCCTGCAGGTCCGTGGTTCGTGACAGAAAACTTTCCCAGAACTCAGTCAGAAAATTTGGCTAAGTCCCGACTCACGGACAGACCCACGGTCCGTAGATCAGACCACGGTCTGTGGTATGTGTCCGTGGATCGAGACTTCCCTTACCCAGCCTCTGACACAAACTACGGTCGACCAGCACGGACCGTCAATCGATCCACGGTCCGTAGCTCTGACCGTAGATGAGGATTAGCAACCAGTTAGCTGAAAATTGTTGATGGGTCAACTTCAGATGGTCATAACTCTTAGTACAAAATTAATTATGTGTCCTATAACATATGGTTAGATATATAATTGAATTATCTTCCCAACGCCACCGAGTTTGCTAAATTTCGACCTCCGAGTAAAAAGTTATGCTTATTTTAGTGAAGCCCTGTCGGGCAGACTCAATCGACGGACCCAATCTACGGACCGTCGATTGAATGACGGCCCGTCAGTCCAATCCGTCGATCACTCCGACAGCAGTTAAGTCAGGGGTCTTTTGGTCTTTTCCTATTTCGTTTAACCCCTAAGATACGTTGTTTAAACCCTAAATCATGAGGTTTTAGTCAGTTTAAGCCTAGAAACATAACTAGAACTTACCTTAGTCAAAATCATTAATCAAAACTTAGAAAATTAGAAGCAAGAGAGGAGAAAAAGGTCAAGAACCCTAGTTCAAGAACGCAGCAAGTTTCCTTCAGTTCCAGCCCCGAAATCGAAAGATTTCTCCGTGGAATTCGTCACCAGGTATGTGGGATTTCACTAGTGGGTTCCTTTCGCCCATTAGGTCCCTAGAATTCAGTCAGATTCTTGATTCCATGATTATGAACAGACCTAGGGTTTCTAGAATTACAGCAGATCATCATGAATTAGTTATTTAAATGTTCCAAATCAGATTATCATGTTATTGCTCAGTTTATCGCATGAATTTTAGAACCCTAGCTATGTATTTCTTTAGTTCTTGAATTACACATGCTAGGTCAGATATTTCAGTATTCAGTTATACATTCCTCAGTTTATGAATGCATCATTATCAGATTAATTGTTGCATTCTCAGTTTGCATGTTCAGTTCGAGCTATCCAGTAACTTACAGAAATTCAGTCATAATGTATTAATTACTTAATTCATTGGGAGTAGCATAATACCGAGTTGGACTAGGGTTCAGCGTACCCATATAGTCCAGAACTACGAGCCACGTAGGTGTAAGTCCCCTCTGTGCGCAACATCAGTTTAGTGATCACGCCAGCATGCCTTCTATACCTCTGGCAGGGAATATTGGGTCCTCTCGATGGGGCATATACATCAGACTTCACATTTAGCTCATGTATGTCGGTTATTAGTAGCTCCCACAGTTCAGTCAGACTCTTTTGCATTGACCATATTTCTGTACAGTCAGTATTCAGTCTTAACATGCTATAAATTTGGTCATTGCATCAGTTAGCTCAATATTCAGTATTTCAGTATCTATATCATGTTCAGATGATTTCATTGCTTTATTGCTTTGTTCAGTTATATGTTATTTCAACTTTACTCTATCCTGCATGCTCAGTACCTCTCAAGTACTGACGCACATGTCCGCTACATTTTCTCGTGATGTAGGTTCAGGTTCTCAGCATCCAGATCACGCTTAGATCGGTTCCCGATCTCCAGTTCAGCAACTTCAGTGGTGAGTCCTCATTCTTCGAGGACTAGTGACATGTTTATCCTTACTGCTTTTAGTCTTTAGTTTCAGTTTTGCTAGATCTAGTTGGGGCATGTCCCAACATTTCTAGTCAGTTTAGAGGCATAATTCAGACATAGTTAGATTCAACTTAGTATTTTGAGTTTGATATCTCTTTTGTATTAAAGTCTCAGATTTAATATATCTCAGTTATAGTATATGGGTATTCCCCATCTTTTCAGATTTATTTATGATTTAGCTTCCGCATCAATTTATTATCTTTAGTATACTCATGATCATGCCAGGAGGGTTAGCTTGGGATCACTTGTGATCCTAGGTCCCGTGTCCGCGTCTCGGGGGTAGCTCGGGGCGTGACAAAATTCTTCATTTTTCTGAATTTTGTGAGAGTCAATTTATTCTAATAATAGTAATATTAAAGTGATACATATAACTAATCCATTAGCATACGGTCATACTTAAATTCTAATACTCAAATTAAATTAGAAAACCTTCACTAAAAACTTATACTAGTTGTTTGTTTATTTTAATTTTAATAGATTGGGTCCTCCATAACCTGTCTTGTAATTTGAGGTAAGAATAGCTAGTCTCCTTCTTTGTACTTTAACGTGTAATAATAATATAGCACCAACCAGCTCCATATCCTTCCTGGATGCTCTTGGCCCCTTGAAAATGTTTTTTTTTTTTTTTTTTTTTTTTGTGTTCGGCCTACATAAAAACTTGAAACTTGAAGGTTTTTGGCTTGATGCCCCCTTCATATTTGTATTTCTCTTGATAATCCACATGGCAGGGGTCATGTCAAAACCTCCACCACCCCAGGAAGATACCTAAGGTGGTTGGATTGTAATAATAAAAAAAGACTAGCAGATCGATAAATTTTCGCTATGCTAATAAACCCATAAATGGTTTAATCAAATGTCAAAACACAAACCCTAAAACCAAATAGTTTGTAACAAGTCTTGATCAGTACCATATGACCATGGTACTTTATTTAGATTTCACAGCAAGAGCAGTTTCTTCTTCTTTGTTTTTTTCGAAAATATTGGACTACTCAGGTATATATATTTACCCTGAAAGAGCATCTTGAGTAGTTGATACATTAATTTCCTACAGGAACTGAATCATATTGGGACGACGAATTTCATCATCATGTTCTTCATTAGGATCATCCACATTCATCATGTCTTCCAGCCAGATTTCGGACGAAGAAGACTGTTCCCCATAAGTTGAGCTACTAATTGCCAGAGAAAGCTCAAGGTTAGTACCTGCAGCTTGATCAATAACTGGTCGTGGCGCTGGTACATATCTTGTTGCCAGAGAAAGCACAAGATTAATACCAGCTGCAGCCTGCTCATTTTGTCGCGGCGCTGGTTCATTTCTTAATGGTGAAAGCGCTGGTCCATTTCTTAATGCCAGAGAAAGCTCAAGATTAGGTTCAACATCAGCTGCATTTACAGCTACAATAGGCCTAGTAACATACGGCATATTAAATAACTAATTAGTAAAATAATACTCTACTCTACCAGAAAAAAGCTATGTATAACAAATATATATAGCTTAGTGAAGAATAAGAGTGAATTTCAAACGAAGATATATATAAATCAAGTTATAAAGCAAACGCAAAAAAGAAAAAAAATGTAGTATTTTGGTAGAATACATCCTTGATCTCTCCATTTCCTTAGATCAAAAACCAAAACATTTAAATCTTTCTCTCTGGGAATAACTTCAGTATCCAAGTCTCACTTTCACGTTTGTCTCATGCTTCACATATTTCACTCCAAATACTATGTCTTAGTCCTGCTCAACCTGAATCCGACTCCAGAAACTCTAGTTGTATTTATATAATTTTAATGAGAAAGGCATACAAGACATATAATTTGGACTATAAAATATAAGGTAGACTAATCTCACTTATTTATTCAAAGCAGACAATAGTTATAGTTCATAAATTATTCTAGAATGGTAGATGGTGATTCCAATATTAGGAGTAACATGTAAACTGGAGTCTTAATTATTATGGGATAGAAAGTTATGTAATAAACGATATTTACTTGATGAGTTATTTCTATTCTTAGAAAATTAAAGTATGCCAACTAGAAGAATAAAACTCTATAGATATATCTAATAGTTGGTTAGATATCAATAGTAATTTAAGTTTGAACAAAATTTATAGGCTACTACT